CAAAGAAGACCATTAAGTAAGGTATGATTTAATTTATGGACCAGGAGATAGAAATTCAGAACAACTAAATGCTCTTTTCACTCTCTGAAAGTGAATTTGTCTTAAGAATTGCCCCATTACCAGAATAATTTGGAAAGGCTAATTGATTAACTGGCAGAATTCTAAGGTGAGTGAAGATGTCCCCATGTACCTTTGACTACAGAGAGGCCTTTCTCTGAACCGACATGCTGGCCCCTTGGATCCAACCCTCAGACTGGCTGAAAGGCCCTGCTGGGTGTCGTGATGCCAGAAAAGCTGAATCCTTTCATTAACCAACCTTCCTGTTCTTCTCTGTGCAGACATGTGCTTGTTTTATTTTAAATGGAGCCTAGTTTGCCATGAGCCTGTAGTACACTGATAGAATATGCCAAGTTTCCTGCCATATCCAGTAGACTAGCACTTTCCAGCCTAGGAGAGAGGGTCTTGATAGAATGGGGGATTATTACAGGCAGTTCAGGAATATTCATGCACACTAAAAATTGTGCAAAAAAAAAAAAAATGGGCAGAGAAGGTAGAGAAATCTCCCAACCCTGTTCATACCTTCATGTTCCTGGAGTATAAAAATCTCCCAAAGAAACCAAAAATGGTGTCAGAGTTTAGATAAGACAGTCTCAAACTTTCTGTGTAAGAAACCAGTTCTAGATTTTGTTTTCCCATTTGTTTTAGGCCAATACTTGTAGAAAACATAGTAAAACTAAATTACTCTTAGTTTCTGCACTTTATCTTATGGAGGACTAGTAACAACTCTTCATGTTCCAGCACAGTCTATGGACCACACATTGACCACACCTTGCTTGATAGGTTTTTAAAACATTAAAATATTATGATTGTGTTTACATTATTTTAGTAGAGTGTTTATAAAATATTAATTCATTGTATACAATACACAGTAAGGACATTGGCACATTTTAATGTCTAGGTAAACAAATTCTTTCAACCCAGTTCACACATTTCTTTTCTTTCTTTTTTGTTGATACCAGGGATCGAACCCAGGGGCACTTAACCACTGAGCAACCTCCCCAGCCCCTTTTTATATTTTGCTTAGAGACAGGGTCTTGCTAAGTTGCTTAGGGCTTCCCTAAATTGCTGAAGCTGCCTTTGAACCTGGATTCTGCTGCCTTAGCCTCCCAAGCCACTGGGATTACAGATGTGTGCCACCATACCCAGTCAACCCAGCGCATGCATTTCTGAGACCGTATAGTCACTGTTATAGACAACATTAAAAATGTATACTTAAGCACTTAAGGATTTTAGTCACAGATGATCAAATTATAGTGACCCCTGTATGAGGAGCCCCTATTACTTAGACATTTGTATCCTATAATTTTTCACATGTATGAAATGCTGTTGAGATGAATAAAACACAATTTATGAAACAGCTCTAAAGAATTTATATAAGCTGTTTGATTTTTCCCCCTCTTATTCAGTTTTGAAAGTGCAGCTGCTATCCTGTGGGAAAACTGACAAAATTTTGATATTAAAAAAAGTCTTTTTACTTGAAATCTTTGATAACTACTTCTCCACACAGACCTCGAAGGAATGCATGAAAGTTAGCTAATTCTGTTACATAGAAAGAATAGTCAATCAGAGAACTCTGCTGTCTTGCCTGAGACTATTAGTGCTGTGCAGACTGAAGGGTTTCTGTGAAACACTTTTCTTCCCAGACCCCAGGTAATCCAGGTCTGAAAAGCAATGCCTCATTTATTAATTCAGTAACATCTAGGGTGCTAACTACTGGCTTAGACAGCAGGGAAGATGCCTCTACCCTTAGGAGGCTCAGGAAAAATTCTTGGGTCAGAATTCCAGTTTGTCCTTCAGTTCTTCTCCTGATGTGAGATGTATGGACAGATAGTTGGGCTGTGCCTCTTCACACCTGACCAGTGAACAAGCCTTTCTAACACTTGAGATTGCGCTTGTGTGGTCTCTTGTTGAGTGCAAGAATTGCACTTAGTGCATGGAAATGATAATAACAGAAACTTTAGTAGCTCACAAACCTTATCCAGATTTGCCAGGCATGAGTGGAACAGAGTAGAATGTGGGGGCTATTTGCCATCTTCCTTGGCATGAAACTGTATGATACAGATCATTTTGGAAAATAAATGGGTTTTTATTTTTCTAAGTCATCTCTATGGACAGGTAAAATTTTGTACTTTTCCCATGTTAGGAAATTCCTGACCAATGCTTCTCAAACTTTAATGTGGATATAAATAGCCTAGGGATATTGTTAAGAGTCAGATCAGGTTTAGTAGGTCTGGGCTGTGCCTGAGAGTCTGTTTCCAACAACCTCCCTCCTAGGCAATGCTGAGGCTGCTGCTCTTCAATTTTGTTGGTATTTCAGTCATATTTTGAGTAGCAGAGACTACATCCCATGTTGTGGGTTGTCAATCCATTTTGTGTTGTTATAACAGAATACCCAACATTGGGTTATGGATAAAGTAAAGAGGTTTATATGGCTTATGATTCTGGTGGCTGGAAAGTATAAACAGCAAGGTGTTACACATCTGGTTGCTACAACATGAGCTGAGAAATGGAAAGGGTACTGGCCCCAGGCAAAAGGGCTACGCATGTGAACAAAGGAGCAAGAGATTGGGGAGGAGCCAAGGTCACTTACAACCATCTACTCCTATAAGAATTAGCCAGGTTCTGTAAGAACTACACTAATCCATTCCAGGGTGAGGTACCCTGTGATCTAATCATCTCTTGAAGTCCCTACCACTTCAATACAGCTGTATTGGGAACCAGATTCCCAGTATATGAACCACAGTATTGGACAAACAATATCCAAACCATAGCACATGAGAATTGGCCTGACCTGCTTTTGTGGAAGGTACTGACCCCTATTTCAGCTACACTTAAATACTCCAGTTACTACATTGCAGTGGTATCTTTCTTATCTCAAGGCTCTTGAGTAGTCTAAGAACATATTGCTGAGGGGTATATATATTGATCATTGTGCTTAATCATTAGCAAAAAATCTTTATTATGCTTTGGACCACATATTTCTTAGGACAAAATGACAGCAGTATCTGTATGCCCAGTTAAGATTTGTTCCATTCATTTTATTACAACACATTGCTTTGACTCATGGATCTTGTGTATCCTGCATATGGTAGGGAGAGTTCCTCATGGTACACCTGAATGCAGTGAGCTTTGCAATCCAATCATAAAATGAGGAACTCAATGTGTTATGTTCAGTGAGTTGATAATACTCAGTCTCTTTAAGATGAGTGGACTACAGAGTATATGTGTAAGAGAAACTAAATCTATTGATTATATTCTGGGCATTGTGATCAGCTATTGTTGGATAAAGGTTGTCATTTGAGTCTCCTGGTGTAACAAAATAATCACAGAAATTTAAAACCAAATTCAATTTTGATGATTTGTCTCTTTTGACTCACATCAGATGGTTTTTCTTATAAAGGCCTTTCAACTCAGGCAAAATTAAAATTGAAACTGATGTCAGGCTGGGCACAGTGGCACATGCCTGGAATCCCACCAATTTGGGAGGCTGAGGCAGGAGGATTGCAAATTCAAACCCAGCCTCAGCAACTTAGTGGGGGCCTAAGCAACTCTGAGAGACCCTGTCTCTAAATAAAATACAAAGAAAAAGGGCTGAGGAGAGGTGGCTCAGTGATTAAGTGCCCCTGGGTTCAATCCCCAGTACCCACCCCCTGTCAAAAAAAGAAAGAAAGTGATGCAGGAAAACAGAGGCTTCATTCATATCACAACTTGTGCTTCACCCAGCGCTGTGCATCCTTGGCCAGGGAGTGGCTTTTCCACCCCATCCCTGAGCTGGTGATTGTACTTTTTAATGACGACATCACCATGTAGCATATGCCAAACTAATCTTCTAAATTATTTTTAATGGATTAGAAGAATGGCTCACTTAATCTTTCTAGTTTCGTAATTTCCTTTCAATAGGCCACATTCCATCCCTAAAACATTCTGTAGGTCTGTCAGCAACTTTGATTGAAGCATGAATTAATCTTATCAGAATCCTGATGGAGGCTTAGATGGGTCTTTGCTATTCAGAGGGTTTTGTTGTAATGTAATCTTAATCAGATTTTGCTGGTATGTCTTTAGGAATTTTGGAAGGAAAGATAATCTAACCAATTTAGAAATCATATAGCACAAACATCTAAACCAAAATAGAAATAACCAGGGTTTACCCCAATGACAAGGGCCTGTCTTTAGATCCTAGTCCTGGGATGCTTGATCTCCACAGTACCTTTCTGTGTTGATGTATGGATGGAAATGGTGGATTTAGGGCTTGAGGAAGCCGGTTTCCTAACATTCCTGGTGGGGTTGAAGTATCCAGTACTTCTCACTGCACTACTGCCTAGACTGGCAGTGGACTCAGCATAATCTGAGGAGACAGTGTCTGGGTAGGAGCTTCGAATCTGCAGCCAGTTGGTCTAGCTGAGATCCTGCCTTGTTTTGTAAAGTTGTGTGACTTGGGCAAGTCATAGAATCCCTTTGTGGTTCAGTTTCTTCAGATGTAAGATGAGGACCTTCCTCAGGTTCCTGGTGAGGATGGAACAAGTGATTAGAATAATCATCCAGGGCCTCGTATGTGCTATCTGAGGGTTTGCAGACTGTGGTTCTCTACAAGTATTGAGAAGTGAAGTCAGTGTTCTGAGTTGCAAACAGCATTTGAAAAATAAATAAAACATATTTTGCAAATATTAGAATGAAATAGAGCATTTTAGAGTGCCTTGCATCTATGCAAGGTATTGTTGAATATCCCCTTGGCTCCTCTTTTTGGTGTTCTTTTGATTGTGTGTGCGCATGTGCATGTTTTCAATGAAGTTGTGATTAACAGAGTATGGAAGCCCCTCTTCCAGAAACAAGTGAATCCATTTTTCTAAACACAGACCCATTGGGGTGAGTGAGGCCTTCCTTCTATGGACACAAATGTGTAGGTGAGCTGTGACTGAAACTTACATGTGCTTCCCTTGCAGAGGGAAACCAAAGGGCAGTTTCTTATCGACCACATCTGCAACTACTACAGCTTGCTGGAGAAGGACTACTTTGGCATTCGCTATGTGGATCCAGAGAAGCAGCGGGTAAGAGCCAACCCCTATCTCAACCCATTCTGAGGGAGGAGCCCAGGCTGTGGGGCTCTGTGGGTATTCCTCCCAGAGCCCCTGTGGGGTCCTTGTTCTCATGGACTATTGGCCACAGGAAACTACTCATTCAGTGGGTATGTGAGTCAAAGGCTTAGGCCCTGTCCCACTGGACTGGGTAGAACAGGAGAAAGTTACGTTATAGGTCTTTCCAGAAAGCTGGACCCACCTGGACAGAAGAGAGAATATTCCTGTGACATTTGATTTGCACAATGGCATCAACAGTGGCCACATAAAATCTGATTAGAGAAAAATCCCCCAATCTCTGACAATAAAACACTACTGGTAGATGAGAGGGTGAATGCTTAATGGGTTTAGGGTTTTCTTTGGGGATCATGAAAATGTTTGGAACCTGATACAGGTGGTGGTTGCAACACATGGTGAATGTACTAAATGCCACTGGAATGTGCATTTTAAAATGGTCAATTTTATGTTGTAGATTTTACCTCAATTAAAAAAAAAAGCTTTTGACAGATGAAAGATTAAATTACTTTGGAAGTTAGTTGCTCCTTGTCTTCTTGCTCCTGGACATATTTACCCTTTCTAGCTCACAAGAGTGAGCAAGGAGTCTCACTTTTCAAGCAGGTGTGTGCTTTGGTGTCTGCAGGCATGGCATGTGCTAGACTTCCTGGGGCATGTGCCCCTCACATCCAAAAGACTCCTGGAATCTCTGTCCCAGCCACTAGGGCTTCCTCTTCTTGCAACCCTGCTGTGCATTTGAGCTGTGGGCTAGAGGCTCTGTACTTAGTGTGAATTGGCTTCCTGGGGTGCCAAGGTTTGTGGGGGCAGAGCTGGGGGATAGGACTCCTTTTTAATTTTCCCCTTCTTCTCCAGGGTTTCTGGTTTTCTCCCTGTTTCCTCTTCCCTCTCTACAATCCCACCAGGCTGTTAGTTTAGTATTTACTGACTCAGGATGAAGAGGGAAGGTTTGCAGAGTGTACTTTTGTAAAGGAGAAAGGTGTTTAAGGAGGTTTTGTCCTGGAACACAGAGGAAGTTACTTAGCTCCTGGAGTCCTACAGGACCCTGTGGGGGATACAATGAAGTGGCTCAGAGGAAGAGGTTTTGGTTTCCTATGGAACCTGCGGTCACCCTTGAATGAGCCAAGTATTTATAGAGTGAGGAAGGTGAAGGACAGTGGTGAGGATGCAGGGCTCACATGGTGTCAGGGAGGGGGTCTGTGGTGTGACATTTACTACTAAGTAACAGTGGTCCCCAGACTTGGTCCTGCAACAGAATCACCTTGAGTGTTTGCTAAAAATACTCATTGTGGATCTTATTCCAGACCTCCTCAATCAGAATTCCTGGGCCAGTCTCAGGAACATGTATTTTAACACATTCCTATTCTAATTTTGATGCAGCTGGGTTCACTTTTGTCTTCTGGCCAGTGTTGGGAACCATGGCATAAAGGCACTCATAGACATAGCTTCTTGTGGTTTGAGAGGATATTATATGGAGAGTAAAACAGGCTGAAAGGTCCCACAGTTAGTAAGCAATAGAATGAATATTTGAATTTAGGATCATGATTCAAATCCCTGTAAGCCTAACAGACTCTGGACTGTATTCATCATCTAATTAAAACTGAAAATAAGCTGGGTTGGTGGCACACACCTGTAATCCCAGTGGCTCAGGAGGCTGAGGCAGGAGAATCACAAGTTCAAAGCCAGCCTTAGCAACTTAGGGAGGCTCTAAGTAACTTAGTGAGACTCTGTCTCTAAATAAAATATTAGAAAGGGCTGGAGATGTGGCTCAGTGGTTAAGCGCCCCCTGGGTTCAATCCCTGGTACCAAACAAACAATCCCCCCCCCCCAAAACACACAAAAAACCCTGAAACTGAAAATAGATTATTTTTGTGTAAAATTCCATTCTAAATTATAGACATCCAATTTATAGGAGAAATTCTAGATACCATTAGTTAAGCAATCATCATGCTCTAGGAAGTTTACACATACAGTGTCTAGTCTTCCAAAAACCCTGCAACGAAGAGAGAAACAGGATGGGGTTTGAACTCACATCCTTTCCTTTCTATTTCCCACATAAAATTTGAAACACAGCCCTAGCCTTTTTTTGTAAAGGCCCACATAGAAAATATTTTCAGCTTTGTTGCTCAAATAGTCTCTGTTGCAATCACTCACCCTGCTGTTTTCATGGAAAGTGGCTGTAGACAATACCTGAATTAGTGGATGTGGCTCTATGCCAATAAAACTTCATTTTTCTTTACTGTGCACTAGAAGCAGGCAGTTAGCCATAGTTTGCTGACCTTTGGCCTAGGCAATAGCTAGAAGCCACTGAAATGCACGAGCCTTTTTTATTCATAGCTCTTAACCTTTGCATTGGGGAGATATTGGATATAATTAAGAAAGGTCTTCAGAATTAAGGAATTGGAATCAGAGATATCAATATGAAATCATTATTTTTAAGATATATACCATAGATATGTAAACAAATATAGATGTGTGTATAGGCTGGGCTAGTACATGCACACATAGATTTCTGTTCTAAGAAGTTTTGTGCACTAAAAAGGCCTAGAAGCAATGATACCAGAGGAGCAATGAGTACATACAGATTTTGGGGTCTAAATACCATTCTCCAACCATAGCAACAAGGTCTCTTTGCAGAAAGTGTTGATTCCAGGACTGAAGTAGGAGAATAACAAGATGAACCTGGAGTATCTTGTGGTACCAGAAAGTGAGGAAGTACTGTAGCTGCACACGTGCACACATATGTGCACTCACATGCACACGCATAAAGGGCAGGGTGCTAGATAAAGCACTGAGCTTACCCCAAACAAGTGCCAATGGCTCAAACTGGAACAATTGGAGTAGCAAAACTAAATAACAATAGCATTGTTATTAGAACCCATAAAATGAAATAAATATCATGAGGCCATACTAATGTGAATAATTGAACAAATACATTGAAGAGTAAGATGGGACTTTTTTTTCTTACAGAAGAATTCTGATTGATAAATGTAGAAGGAATTAGGGACAGAGAAAACCGCCATTAGAACTAGGGACAGAGAAAACCGCCATTAGAACAATCCAATGATAACTGTAGCAGCTAAGAGTCATCAAAGAATCCTAAAATCAGTGGGCAAATTTTGAGGAGAAATAGGATATTTCGAATCTCAGAGTACGTCCCAAATCTTTTTTTTATCTTTCCCAAATATTTTTTCAGTACAAAGGGGAAAATAATAACTTTGCAATGGAGAAGGCTGTCAGGCACCACTTGAACTGAGATTAAAGTAAACATCACCAGTAAAAAGGTAGAACACCATGGACTCCCAGCCTGAGGCACTGGGAAGGGCACACTGTTTCTGGTATTCTTCCCAATAAGGCACAATCTCCATCAAGTCTGGAGAAAACATCAGATAAGTCCAAAGTGAGGCACATTCTCCAAAATAACTTAAAGCTTTTCATTTAAAAGCACTAAGGTGGTAAAAGACAAGGAAATATGGGGAACTGTTTTAGACTGGAGAGACACTTCAAATAAAAGCAACATGGGATCATGGAGTAGATTCTGGAACAGAGAAAAGTATTGCAGTGGGAAACTGTGCAAACTCCAAAATAAGTCTGTTGTTCAGTTAATACTATTGTGCTAATTACTGGTTTCTTATTTTTTTAATTGTACTGTAGTTATACAAGATGCTAATATTCAGGAAGAATGAGTGAAAGTTACACTCTACTGTTTTTGTGAATTTTTATATGCCTAAAATTATTTTTTAGGGTTAGAATAAAAAATGTCTTTAGGCATATGTGCTTCATTGTTCTTTGTGTTTTGACTTAGCTTAGCTTAATTTTTAAGGGTAGAAAATTAGAGGAAAAATATGGGGAACACCCCAAAACAAAACTGTCTTATCTATTGTAGGTACTAAATTTCTTGGAGTTCTAAGCATCTGCCAAACCCATACCTGAGAACTTTTATTATAGCTTCTGCATGGATTGCAGGGTAGTTGCTGTTCAAACCTGTCTAGACTTTGGATTCAGAGAGATATGATTTAGAAATCCTATCTCTGCTGGTAAAGAAGTAATGTGATCTTGGCCAAGTATTTAAACTTCTCTGAGTCTCTGTCCAAATAAATAAAGATAAAATATTTTTGTTTGGAGCTGATATGAGAATTAGATATGAAATATATAAATACTTAACACATGGTATATATTAACTACATTATATATTTTAATTTTATTATTAATTATTGCTATTATTATTCTTACAGTTATGATACATTAGGTCTAGGTGAGGAATTATAGCCATGATTAGCATCCTAGACCTATCAGTGTTTGTAACAATTTCTTTTAAAGGCAGGGAGCACTATCATGATCTTTGGAGAGAGAGAAAACAGAAAGTGAGCATTGAAAAATTAGGAAAGCAATGGACTCAAAGGCATGAAGACATGCCTGTATGGGAGTCTTAAGCAAAGACTAGTTTACCAACATTGTTTTTGTTGTTTTTTGTTTTATTTTTAATCAGCTCTTGTACTTTTTAAATAATTACAAATAAAACTGATAAATTATTTGGATAGAAGCTAACCAAGAAAGAAAACCAAGTTAGAGAAACTGAAGTGGAACTTACCTCTGTTGTGGGGCTGGTGGTTTGCCTGTGACTCTTTCTCAATTGACAGAAAACTATTGTGGAATATTAAATATTTAGCATTATTACGTTTGGAACACCATATGTTTGACGAGATGTCTCCTGCCCCACATGCTCTGAAAGTGATGAGGACTGAATCAGTAAATAATGACTTTTTTTTTTTTTTTTTTTTTTTTTTTTGCTATTTTAATGGCAAGGGCCCAGAGTTTCCATTATTATTATTTTGTCTGATGGAGGGATAGGTTAAATACCAGCTCATAAGAACCTCCTTCAATTTGCACCACATTCATCTTCTGAGGAATTCCTATAATTATAGTTGCCTAAGATTACAAAACAGGTAAATAGAATTATC